ACTTTAGGTCAATAGTCAATGTCAATCCATTTCTTTCTGTTCTGCATCAGAACATGAGTTTACCTGACTGCTGTTCCCACAGTTCAATCTCATGGTTTTTTTCTTTTTTCGTGACCAAACTGTCAGCTCTCTGTAAATGATCCAGGCTCATTAGTGATAAGGCAGTGATTGAGAATCCTCTGTTTATTCTTCTAACTTTCTCTTTATCTCCTTCATTCAGTGAATACCGCTTCCTCATCCACCCCCAACCAGAGCTAACAGGGTGATTAGGCATAGGCATTAGGCTGTATTGTGCTCAGAGAACTTCAAGGCCAGCCTTTGCCCACATGAGTCATCAGGCACTTCTCACAGGAGCCCACGACTACAGGAGCCATGAATTGCATCCAGCACATTCACATACACCTCTACAGCACTGTGAGAGACGGACACGCCCACCACACTGCACAAAATATAGTGTTGGCACCTAAAATCATGCTAAATCTAGTAAATATTACTCATATTTCACATTTTAAGATTACTGTATAAGTATTACACACTCTTTAAGGGTTCTGTAGTAAAGAAAATGGGGGCCAGGCTAGTTTTCCCAAGGGGAAATGTGGTAGATCAGGATGAGCTGAGAGAGTCAGCCTTTCTGTCCAGAAAGTTCTGCTACTGCTCCTGCCCCCTTGGCGGAGGGATGGAGGAGCAGGAGGAACGGAGAGAATGAACAGAAACTGCAGAAATGGGACAACTAAGTCCTTTAAACCTCATTATATTTGATGTGGACTGCTGATGAACTGAGTCAATCACAACGCCTGCTTGAAAACAAAGCCTAAGCTGTGACACAGAGCCGCCTGTTTACATGTGTCATTTTTTTTTTTACACTAAGTGCAAATTACCCAACACATAATTATGTAAAACCAAATAACCAAATAAAACGCTGAGTGTAAAGTGTATCTGGGTCACTCTGTGTTTCTGTCCTCTCTGCAGTGATGTCATTTTAAAATCTGTAAAAGTCTTCCTGGGTAGTAACACTCGTGTATCCTTCTCTGGAAGCCGCTTCGTGGGTATTTTAAGCGGCTCCTCTTGTCTCCTCTGGTATTTGGTCAGCCGGTAAGATGGCATCATGAAATCGGTTTCCGGGTCACAGAGGAGAGGAGGAGGATCGGTAGGAAAAAGCAGGAACTTTCAGAGTTTCTGGACGCAGCCTCAGTCTAGAGCTGACGGCTGAGAGAGTGAGGCGTAGCTGAGGCTCAGAGTGAGCTCTTAAGCCACTTTTCCACTGCAAGGTATGGCTTGACACGACTCCACTCGCTTTTAGTACCATCTCCTACAATATCCACTGCAGATATAGTGCCCCCTCAATGTAACTGGTTGTCATAGCAATGCCACATTAAGCTGTCGTGACGTGAAGATGACGAGACATTTCTGGCTGCTCAAAGGTGACGCTAACCTGGTAGCTAAGGTTAGCATATGTGTTCACCGATCCTCTCCGACCAATCAGCTGTCTGCAGAGTTTTTACATGACCTTTTGGTATTGGCTCAGCTCACTTGGAACCTTAACAGAGGTGGTACCAAAAAATAGTACTCAGGACAGCGAGCTCTGAAGGTACACAAGTTGTTTTGTGGAAAACCAAAAAAAAGGAGTGTAGTCCAGTTGAGCCAATACTATGAGGTGGAAAGCTGTGTCTCTTTTAGTAACGGTGAACGCCATATTATTTTATTTATTATTTGTTTCTTAACAATGTGCTTCCCAATAATATCTCTGGGTTTTATACATCAGTTATAAACTGGCGAGGGTTATAGGCTGGCGCAGCAAGAGCTAAAAATGTTTTGGGAAATTTTATTTATCTGAGCATATATAGTAGATAATCAGAGCTCTGTAGAATCAATACACTCTTACACACATCACATCAAAACTGATTAAAAACTTGACTTCATTTGAAAATATGTGAGTAACACTTTATAATAACCGGCCCTAATAAACAACAGCTCAGTCATCAAGTAGTTCTGTTAATGACTGCATAGGCATGTGAATGATTAACCATTTATTTATTGACATAACCATTTACTTTGTCACTTAGTGAAGAATAATCATTATTATTTGAATGGTAGAAACCTAATCATGAATTATAAGGTGTTAATGATTTATCAAAACATCAAAACAGTTGATAATCATTATGATCACTTAGTAATCATCTATGTCGTGTTTGAAATAATGAAGATTGTTCCTACTGTGGGTCCTAAAGCTTTCTTAAATGCTTAGTTAATCTTTGTTGTTAATGCTGGGTATACATTTTTAAACATTAATCATCATTAAGTAGACCCCTATTATAAGAATAATAATAATAAAGAAGAATAATAATGAAATATTTATGGAGATCACTTAATGATCTGTATATAGTAAGAGTAATATAGTAATAATGGTAATAGTAGGTAGTAATAATTCAAAGGATTTCCATTTATTAATGTACAAGTAATGATTATCATTAGCAAACTGTTAGATATGGGGCCTACTATGAACACAGAAAATATATTCAGAAACTATATTATGTTTGCTATATATATATATATATATATATATATATATATATATTGAATATTATATATATATATATGTATATATATATATATATATATATATATATTGAATAGTTATATATATATATATATATATGTTGAATAGTTTGCAGGTGAGCCCCAAACTGCAGCACCAGGCACAAAAATCTGCCCCCAGATCAGCCAGGAGGCCTTCACACCCAGCTAATGAATTACCCCTTTACTGAGAGAGAGAGAGAGCGAGAGAGAGGGAGAGAGAGACATAGTGTGCTCCTTGTATGCAATGAATCACTCTGAAAAAAGCACGGATGTGCACACCCAGGTTCATTCAGCCAGCACAAGCAAGACATCACGTTCAGCATCCTCTCAGCAGCAGATTAAAGAGCCTCACTCCTGTCCTTTTTCTCGTTTTTTTGGGGGACGAGTGGTTTGGGGGGTGTACTACTGTTCACGATTCTTCCAGAACCCACCCAATCCGCCCCTCACCCCCTCAGCTCATCTTTCCTCTCCTTTTTCCTTCTCTTTCTTTCTCCAACCAGCACAACCACAAACCATGCAGCTAGCCCTGCTCCCTGCTTCTGCTGTTGCCATGGCAACCTCTCCTCCAGAAACGGCCTCTCTTCTGCATGCTAAACGCGCTCATAGAAACGGGCGATGCGCGCACGACAAACAGGCACGACCACTAAAGCTGCACAGGAAATGTTAATGTTTCTATTATATAAAATATTTACATTTTTATATTTTTTTATTGTTTTTTTTTGGTGTAATTTCAAACCTTATCAATTTTTGATGCTACAACTTGTACCAAAGGTTAATGCAGTAGTTTTTAAGCCTGACATGTTCCATAAGTCAACATTTAAAATGATTACATATGATTAAAATATCAGACATAAGGTGCATGTGTCCTGTCAGTAGCACTGATTCTGGATATTTGATGCTAAAATGCTTCAGACTGTATCCATAAAATCATAAGTGGATCAATAACATGAGAGATTCTGGTAATGTTAATTCTACAGGTTAGTCTCATATTTAATGGACAGGCTTTGTAATGTGTCTGCGCACAAACAGAAGGAGCAAGATATAAATAGAAATGATTTGGAATCAAATATTTGTCTGAAATACTCAATAATAATAAAAATAAAAAATAAGCATAATAATAATCTCAGAGGCGAATGTGATGTGCTGTTAAAAGCAACCACAAATACACTAAGTTTAAGGTCCAGGGTCTAATCAAGGTGATTATTAGATTCAGTTCAACATTTTCACAGCTTATTATCTGTTTAAGTGAATTAAAAGAATTTATCATATAATACAAATGTGTCATGAAATTAAATCATTCCGAACTTCCGGCTGAGGCTCCACAGCGTGCACACAGGCAGCCATATTAAAGGTATGAGTGGAGTCTTGCTGCCACTCCCATCTCTTTCTTCAGTGAGTGCTGTGTGTTTTCAGTGTAGATATAATGTGAGCTGATTATTTGTGCATGTTTTTAACCGAGAAACAGGGCAATCGTCTCTGAATGGAGACTTTCATCATGTTAATTTGAGCATTTCAATTTCAAATCACCTGCAGCGCTCTCTCTCCCTCTCTCTCTCTCTCTCTCTCTCTCTCTCTCTCTCTCACTCATTCTGTTTCTGCTCAGATCTTAGAGAATCTACTACAATTGTGGTCAAAAAACAGTCCACTAACTATGAGACTAAGCCAGTATTTAGATTTACTAAGCTGGGATCTTGTGTTATTGATTTATTGATGATTTTATAAACAAGGTCCTTTACCTCTAGATTTGCCTAATCTACATCATATTTCATGACTGGGTGCTGTAATTATATAAATGTCATCCAAACAACCCAGACAGCAATCTCCATTTTTGTCCAATTTTATTTTTCTATATTATTTGGAAAGCCAGCTGTCCTTTTCATATGAAATATTTATGATGGAACACTAATGTTCCAGAATTACTTTGAATAGAATCTCTTTACTTTAACTTGCATTAAAAGTTAAGACCATTTTTTGCCCTTTCCTGTAAAGTTACGGTTTTGAAGATCTTCTTTGGACAGTGACCATATGAGGGTTAAAACCTTCAGAACCATGAGAAAAATTATATTTTAATTAGACAGAGGCGTCTATTGCTGGCCTAAAAGATTGTGTAGGCCTGACTTTTAACAAAAATTGATAAGGTTTGAAATTCTGTGAACATTACCAGTGGAACATCTAGACTGATAGGCCTTCTCAGTCCCACAATTCCTCCCTCGTGGCCCACCCAACATTACACGTAAGCCTCACATGTAATTTGTATGCTAGAACATCTTTTCCCCAAAGAGCACTTAAAGGATAATGAGGACATTTAGTGGAGAAGAACTGGGTTCAGGACAGGAGAGAAGGTCAGTGGGGAGCACAAAGCAGGATCATCTTTGCTAGTTCCAGACACAAGTTACCAAACTTTAGTTTCAAAGAATACTAACCTTCTTCCTCACTGGACCCTCTCTGCATGGGGCTGTGAAGAGGGATCGGAGTTGCTGGGACGGCTGGGGTGGTTGCAGGGGACTGGGTGCTCTTGGTGAAAATGCCGCTGATGAACTTCAGCATTTTTCGGTCTTTCCCCGAGGCCTGGGTAGAAGCACGCTGCTCCTTTCCCTTCTTCAGGTCCTCTGAGAGCAGATGCAGGTCACTGTTGTCCAGTGTACGGCTCTTGCCCTTCCGCTGTGGTTTTGTTGGTGGCCGTACGGCGGGAGCTGGAAGTGATGTGGATATCGTTTTAAGCTTCTCCACTCGAGGACTGTCCCGTGTGAGTCCAGGTCCTGTGAACCCTTCTTCCGCTACCATTAACGGCTCAATGCCGAAACGTTGGTACATGCCTCTCCCCTCGCTCTCTGACCAAGACGCTCGATAGGGCCCCATCGTCATGGTGATGGTCACCGGAGGTGAGTGCTCTCTGGCCTTGTAGTCCAGGCTTTTGGCAGAGGAGGAGATGGTCTTGCTGGTCTCCTTGAGCTCATGCCGATTCATTGTAACCGCAGCGTGGGATCTCAGCAGGGCCTCGGGACGCTGGTTGAGACGTACTGGAAAGCTGGAACGGACTGAGGTCCCGTTTGACACCCCGACATCTGAGGCCTTTTCTGATGTTGGGGTGTAAAGATCTGCCTTGTAAGATGTTTCCATTCTGGATGTCTCCTCACCATCAGGAGAAACTCCAGCGCTCCTGACCTCTTTGTGAAGTTCCCTGCCCTTGTATTTACCGACCACCTTAGGCTTCGGTGGAGGTGCTCTGACTGGACATGCATTGTTGCTCTCTTGTCTCCACTCATTAGTAGGCTTCCATCCCCTGACCTCGACCTTCTGCTCCTCAGTATCAGGAGATGCAGGTTCCTCCTCATTTTCTGGGGTCTTGCTTACGTCTTCCACTTTTTCCTGCTCCGTTGGTTGTATCTCTGTGTGTTCTCCATGTTCTGGACCCTGGACAAGGGCTGGAGTCTGTGGTTTTGTTGGCTCTGCCCCTTCATCTGTTCCTATGGCCTCGACCTTGACCAGAGTGAGGGAGATGAGGTAGGTGGTTCGTCGCTGCAAGGTTCCTGAGTGGCTCATGTGGGTAGCAGTGGAATCTCGGGGCCCTTTAGAGAAAGACGGCTCTACTGGACTGACAGACGAAACAGCTAGACCTGAGGGCCCAAGGTAGAACTTGAATAGGCCATCAGATGTCAAAAATTAAAAAACGATTGACATGCATAGATTGCTCAATGTCTCAGTACAGTCTTTACAATCCTGTAGTCATTCTTTAGCACGAAGAACCTGAAATAACGTAGGAAAATTCAAAGAGTGTGTTAGAAATGGAAATGAGCAGGAGGGAATTGCAAGCACAGGAGCGAAACAGAAAGAAGTCCCATCAATCTCCAGACCCGACAAAGGAGGCTCAATCCAAATGGTAGGGTATGTAATCACGATGCGTTGTATCCGTTTTCGGCTTCCATTCATTCACAGACGCTTCTCCCTGTCTCTTTCCCATCTTGCAGATGGCTGGCACTCCATCCCTCCATCCCTTTTGGATCTGTGGAAGCGGTGCTCACTGTCTGGGATTTGCAGACGGGAGGTTACGGTACGGTCTAGACTCCGGCATTATGCAACCTACGGTACAAAAAGAAAATCCCTTGCAGTCCATTCACAATAGTTAGTCTCAGAAGAGCCCCTGCCATGTGTCTCTGCTCCACCTGTTTAATTTACCCAGTGAGCTTCTAAATTCCTCCGGATCAGTGTTTCGTTGCATTGCAATGTTTGCTCAGATGAGAGGTTGGCAAGTCACAGTGTCGTGTAATCCACATTCTGTGCTCATAAGCGAGCTGCGGTTAGAGGACAATAAGAGCCAACCCTGTTCAGAGCGGAGAGACGGTCTGAATGAGATGACGAGGAGAGGAAAAAAAGGTTACTGAAAAAAAACGTGGCTGGCTGCGAGCACAGGCATCACAGGAAATCCACAGCCGATGCAGCGTGGCTGCCGAATGAAGAAGAGAAAACCTGTTCGTACACTCTCATCCTGGAAAGGGAGAACAAGCAGAGCCTTTCTGCAAACCGTGGAAAGCCTATCATCTTTTACCACTGCATACTCTCTCTCTCTCTCTCTCTCCCTCCCTCTCACTCACCCTCTCTCTATCATGTCTCAGGCAATTAGCAAGTCAAATTTTGCTGTGGAGGGAGGGGAGAGAAAGAGGCATGCACACATACAGCGACAGAGAGAGTGAGAGAGAGAGAGAATGCATTCAGTCCTTCTATACCCCTGCTCTATCTCTCCTCCCCCTCAAAGCCACCCTGCCTTCCAACCCCCTGCCTACTACGGACGAGTCGCACAGCCAGAGCGATGGAGAGAGAACAGCACAGATGTGCAGGCTCTGCACATCGAATAAAGGGAGCGGCAAGAAGGATCAGTTCTCGTTTACTGTAATGGTGTTGTCCCAGGAAAACAAACAAGAGGTGCTTTATGTCTTTGTGGTGGGCAATAAGACAACAATATAACGGCGATACTTCGAGACTAAGGCTGTCAAATATGTAAAATAATTAATCATGATTAATTGCATTCGGTTGTGCAGTTAATTGTGACTAATCACATTCTTTTGTGAAGTTAATTGTGAATGGTCACATTAACTTGAGTAGTTGCGATTCATCGCATTTGGGTCACACTTTAATTGGAAAGCCCCAAACAGATTATCTATAGGTATTAGATTTTTGACAAACTACCTGTTGAAAGTAATTTGATTCTCAACAGGGTTACAGTGTTTATGATTAGGACCAGAGAGAGGGTTTGGTTTAGGATTATAATTTTAAAAATTTAACTTTTTCTAGATCACTGTACCGATATCAACACACTTCTGTTTTTTTAACATTATTTTCATGCATTTTATGCATCAAATCACCCAGGAATACAATGAGCCATTTTATGATCTGTCATTTTCAGCAGTTACAGTTGTCTCATTTGCAGCATGAAGCAGGCTAGGTAACCAGAAGGAATAGGCAATAATCATTTTAGAGATCTATGATTCAGGCCTCCTCCATTCTAGACTCTGTTAGTCTGTGTTAGTAATTCATACAGTTATTCTTACTGTTAAACTTAAGAGTGTTTCCTTTCAATGAGACCAAGAATATGAATGTAGCCCAAAGTATGTAGGAACAGCGCCCCCTTTACTTTGGGTATTTCAGGCAAAAACTTGAAAAAAGAGGCGACAGTTAAGAGGTTATTAGATAATAATGGAATGTTAGTTAAATGCAAGATAAACATTTGTGAAATATTTGCAATGTTTTACATTTGTCTTATGTGCTCAGATTTGACCCTAAATAAAGAACTGTTCTGTTTATAAAGCAGTGCTTTTTGTTGTAGCTACAAGAGTCAATCAAATTAGCTTTAGAATGACAAACTTGAAAATTAGGTGAATGAAGTTTCCAGTTTTCATCACCATTTATCCGAGAGCAACAGCGGCTGTGTGTTCCAGGGAGTTTAGCGTACAGCTACAGAACTGGAGCTACACTTTGCTGTTGCTTCTGTTAGTTTGCTGTTGGTTAATCTATCCATAGTTCTCCTGACAGCGTTGTCCTTCAGTGCTTATGTTACTGATAATGCCAATATTGCTATGTTAGCGCCGTTTTGCTAACTCAAGACTTGATGTGATTTGGTGATAAACAAATTCACCATTGCAGTAGTTGGAAATAACTTTGGCTTTATCAGGAGATTCATCAACAGAACTTCATGCTCTTTAGGTTAAACTTCATACTGATAACATGATATCAAAGCGTTAACTTTGACATCACTTATCACAACATTTTCATGCATTAAAATATTTACTTTTTCTAAGGTCTGATATGTTAATACTGAGAAAAAGGCCCAGTAGTGCCACATTTAAAAATTAAATGCAAAATAATTTATGACAGTAATGATAAAATTTTAAAATATTGTATATCCATTTGTAACCAAGAAGTTTGAAATGAATAACAATCAATATAGTTCTATAGAACCATTTCATGCTTAAATGGCTCTTTGAAGATGGTTCTATGTAGCACCAAAAAAAGTTCTTCTACGTTACAAGCTTGACATCATAACAATAGCAGAACCCTTTTTGGTGCTACGTAGAACCATTTTCAAAAGGTCTATATAGAACCATATACAACACAATCTCAAACAATCTGAAGAACGATTTTACCATGCAAAGAACCGTTTGAGCATGAAATGGTTTTATATCCACTCATGATTCTAAATAGAACAATTCCCTTTGCCAAAGAACCTTTGAAGAACCATCTTTTTAGGGCGCATTTTCTCTTTCATTCTGCAGTCACCACAGTGGTTCAGTGCTGTGTGTGCTGACCGCTCTCCTGTTCTCCTCCCATCTCTGTACTGGTCTCAAATAAAATGGGACGCTGTGATAGATCAAGGTGAATGTTGGGGAACTTTCACACAGCAGGAGGAGAGAAGAAGAGATACAGACCAAAGAGCACGTAAATTAAAATAAATTGAAGGGCAGCAGAGCTGTGGGGCAGAGAAGGAGTGAAGGGATGTGTGAAAGAGAGAGAGAGCCCTAGAAACGTCTGGAACACAAACACATGATATGTCCAGAAGTTTGTAGATGTCTGAAGTCTGATATCAAAGGTTTTACAGGTAAATTCCACCATTTTTTTCAGAATTCAAAATGCATAATTAGGTGGTTAAGATGTAAACAGAGTCATTCAGAGTGGTTTGATGTGAAACGCTCTGTTCTGGAGAAACTTGCTGAGTCAGAATTGTTCACAGTGGTGGTGAAAGGATCCAGACATCCACCTCTAAAAGCTCCCTCACAGAAAGTTGTTATATGAAATGGTTATGAATATCACTGGCTGATGTCTGAGACATTGTTCATGATCTTACAATCCATTCATGGTGGAGGGATACATAATATGCAGGGTTTTGTGAGGCCAAATAGTCCCCAAAGAAAACTTCAGTGTTCATATTTTCCACTATTTTCCCATCATCAACATTCCATATAAAACTCAGAAGACATGTATATGTTGGTGGTTTGGGCATGTAGTCGGTTTCAGTGTCGCTCCAAAAGTGTTGTGCTGTGTCTTGCAGGTGCTGTTTTAAACACTGCAAACTGTTTATGGGACAGCGCTCTGTTTTCACACATGCGCAGACTGAGAGAAACGAAAGAATTTAGAGTGAAGGTTTACATGCACTGAAAAGCCCCATTACTGAGCTCAAATCCAGCTTTATCAGATTTCTTAATCAAATTTATAGACCTTAATATGATCTAAGAAATCAGAGTGTACTGTTCACAGGCCCATGTAATAATCAGGTAACTGCAGAAATCTGATAATGTTCGGATTGTTAAGTGAATGTAAACACACTCAATACTTTTTAAACGTAGACTAACCAAACAGGAGCTAAGATGCAGTAAGATAAATCATAGTTCCCAAGACTGAAATTCGAGGATGTGTCCAGAACTGTTGGAGAACTAAACAATGAGGGAGTCCAAACTAAATATAGGATATAAATTATTTGTGGAAAAATTCCTTCACAGCTATCAGAGTTCAATAACGTCAGCTAACATCTACAGAGTGATAAAATGATGGATATGTAAAAATAACTATAACCAAAATGCTAGATTAGCCATGTTAGCTAGAGATGCTGAAGCAGCTCACTAGCAATATACTAGTTAAAGCAGCAAAATGCTAAATGTGCACTGGGGGCAGGCAGGGGGGCGTGCCAGGTCATCAGGGTCTGTAGCACCACTATAGTCTGTTACTTATTTGCATTTATAAACACTCAGCTGGTTTCCTGTTACGTTTAATCTGCAACGAGAAACTGTCAAACACAAAAAGTCGAGAGGCTGAAGTAGTTTGAATTCTCCCCTTCCACCTTAAATGCTGCAGCAGTTACAATTTGCGGGCTCAGGCACCATTTAAGGTGGAAGCACCGGCTCCAGCGAGCGAACATCTACACCCCGCCAAGCACTTGCTCTCTCAGTTGCTGATCATTTTTGAGGGAGAACATAAAAATTGTTCCTCTGAAAGCGGCTGCAGCAGCTTTAAAGCACGAACTGCATTCGGTGTAAGTTAATCAGCAGTGCTGAAACACAGACATGGAGGGTCTTTTACTCCGCATGACAAAGTTTATTGCTTTATTAATTGCACAAACTCGTTTTCCTCTGCTCATCATCAGCTGACACACCACTGAAACTGAGATGAGGCTGTTTTTTGCTTCAAGCTCTAATACTTGAGTGAGCTGTACACGTTGTACTTGTCATTGTTGCTGTTGTAATTGCTTTAGTGGAAGCAGCTTTACCCTGCAATGACTACTTCCGGCAGAAAAAATGCGGAAATGTGAAAAGTGCCTGTCTCCTGCAGGACCTCACATGAAACACAGTGACACGTTTGTGCTCCTGAGCGTCTGTACACATCTGATACCAGAGTAGATTTCAGAGAGTCTGAGGGTACAAAAGAAACACAGGCGTAACTATGGCAACACTGACAGAAACACAGCCTAGATCACTACAAACTTAAACAGTGTCAAAAGAGACCCTCACAGTTTGGTTCATCCACTGTATAGATCTGTTTGTATGAGAACAGTATTAAGCGCTCATCAGTTTGAACAGTCTTTCATAAGAGTGATTATTGAGTTTTATGTTTAATGTTGGTTCTTCAAGGGGCCTTCAGTAAAGAAAATAGAACCATAGAACATGATGTGAATGCATCAAGACACAGCCGAAGTCACATTACACACATAAAAATATGTTTTTGTTAATATTTTGGTTAATATTTATTGTTGGTAATTGAGGTGATGATGTATTTTTCTTTAATGTTTACTGTTTCTACTGGCTGTTGTTTGGCTGTGTTTGTATTTATTGTCATCTTCTACGCTTATTTATTGATTTTTTCTGTTACGGTCTGTGTTTGGGCTGCTGACGGCTGCAGGGACTCCTAATCAGTTCTAGATATTGTACTCCTGCCTAGTCACTGGCTTTCATTGGTTGATTCTGTTTAAAGATCAAAATCACTTTTTTCCTGCGTTCATCTCAGAACTCTCGTTATTGGTGGTGACCACAGGAGAACAGGTTCTCCTTTTGAGTCTTGGTTTCTCTCACTGGTTCTTCCTCATGTTCTTATGGAGGTTCTTCTTTTGAGCCCGGTTCCTCTCACTGGTTCTTTCTCATGCTCTTAGGGGGGTTATCCTTTAAGCCCCAGTTCCTCTCACTAATTCTTCCTCATGTTTGGGAGGTTCCCCTTTTGAGCTTTGGTTCCTCTCAGCAGTTCTTCCTCATGCTCTTAGGGAGGTTCTCCTTTTGAATCTCAGTTTCTCTCAATGTTTCTTCCTCATGTTCTTCGGGATGTACCCCTTTTTTAGCCTTGGTTCCTCTCACTGTTTCTTCTTCATGCTTTTAGGGAGGTTCCCTTTTTGAGCCCGATTCCTCTCACTGGTTTTTCCTCATGTTCTTAGGGAGGTTCTCCTTTTGAGCCTCAGGTCATTGGTTCCTCCTCATGTTCTTAGGGATGTTCCCCTTTTGAGTCTTGGTTCCTCTTTGTGGTTCTTCGGTTTGAATGTTCATTTTCTAAACAGAAGCCAGTGTTCAACAGCCTTAGAACAACAGCTCATAGATCCAGTGAACAAGATCCACTGAACAAAAGTCAGTGAATAAGATCCAGTGAACAGCCAGTGAACAACATTCAGTGAACAAAAGTCAGTGAACAACATCCAGCAAACAAGAGTCAGTGAACAGCGGCCGGTGAATGAGCCCTTTACTTGATCATTCACATATTTTATGGCTTTGGACTTTTACTCCAGAGGAGCAGTTTGACCTTTGACTTCCCCAGCTGTTTATATGAAGACGGCAGCTCAGCACTGGACGTCTGTGTGGATTTATTTGCTAAAGTTACGGAGGAGAACAAGGAACACAGTCACAGAAAGGGTTCTACAATGGTGAAAGTTGGATTTTCGTGTATGAGAAGTGCACTTTGTGCCCTAAATGTGGTTTATATGGTGAGTTATGTCGATCTGAAAAAGATTTTCCTTTAAATTAGCTTTCATTTTCCATTTTCCCACAATGACAAACTCCTGTAAACACTGCAGTTCTTAGCTTAATTTCTGTTTGCAATCAAAATATTTATTTATTTTACATTGGCAGTAGTGAATTGTTGTTAATGAGCACATTGAGGCCCAAAATATGTCTGGATTTGCAGCATTTTATAATTCTATCACATGTCAGCTATGAATCAGTGCTTTTCACCTGTTACTTTATGGGCCAGTTTCCTGGACAGGGATTAAGCCGAGGCATGGACTCTATTTTCCTTTTAAGCTTGGTCTGAAAAACTGGGCCCAAATGATCAATATCCATTTTTTGGCCAAAATCAGTTTTCAACAAATTGTTTTAGGAATCTGCTGAATGACTAAGGGAATATATGTGAGAATGTTTCTCTACACTCTCAGAAATTAAGGTACTAAACTGTGACTGGGGTAGTACCCCTCTTGTCACTGGGGTGGAACCCTCAAGGGTACATCTCAGCACCTCTAATCATGGAACATAATTGTACCATAATCCATTGAAATTATATTTAAGTTGTATTGACTCCACACACCCCATCTCATCTCCGGGCTTTTTATTTTATTGTTCTGTTTTAAAACATTAGATTATGAAAAGATACAATATGTACTTTTCACCTGGGAAAAACTTATTTAAGGTGCACAATAGACTTTAAAACCACTTTGTGGAAACACCTACATTGTTTGTAGCTTGATGAACTAGAAACGTACCTGCACAGAACCTTTATTTCAAACAGTGTATGATGAAAATGAATGAAAATAAATGCTGGAAGTTGCATTGAATAACACAGAACTCTAGTGTGAGAGCTGTATAGGGTCACTCTGAGTTCTTGTATGCTCCTCAGATGGTGGGCATTTTACTGATCGGAGTGGCTGCCTGGAAAAAAGGCTTTGCTTTAGTGGCTAGCAGTAACATCGTTAGCGGGGTGGTAGCACTGGCCGTCATCCTGCTCCTGATCTCCATGCTGGGACTCGTCGGGACTGTCAGACACCACCAGATTCTGCTGTTCTTTGTATCCTTTGGACAAACATCTACCAGCGTAATGTTAATGTAACTACCATGTGCTTTCTAACAAAAGAAGAAACCACCCCTACTCATGCATGAGTTAGCCAGTTCACTAACTACAGCTCGCTAAAACCTGGGGACTTTGGCACCACTCGAATTGTTTGTTTATTTATTGAAATAAAGTTGCAAGCCACTCGAGGCCGTCTGTTACTGTGATTTTATTATGAGCAAGTGTGTTCTTAGGCATGAGTAAAATCCCCTTCCCTGCAATAAAATCACTGTAATGCACAGCCTCGAGTAGCTTATTGTTTTTATAAAACAGTGGCTGACATATAATATGATAAAATACACAATTTTCTGAAAATTATTTAAGCTATTATTAATAATAATTGACATAAAGTATTCCGCCAAAAAATATAGTTCCTTCAGAGTTTGGTATTGTTGCCAAGCAACCATGGGCTGCTGAATGAGGAGAAGAACATTTGGTTGTCCATCAATGTATATTCATGAGCTTTTTGACTTTTTGTCACATAACAACGAATATATCATAACACAGCACTGTTTATTGCAAAAACCTTCACTTTATAAGCACTTTTTGGTCACCAAATAACCACTGCGAATCTTATTTAGCACCAATCCAGCAGCGCCCTCTTCTCATGCTGAGGCTGAATCTTCCTGCTCCCTACACAGTGCACTACGTAGGAATTTAAATACTAGATCCTGCAGCCCAGCAGTGCATAATACAGCTAAGAAATAGTCATTTGGGATTTAGACACTTCCATTATATAAATAGTGCACTGTTTGGCTGTAGAAGCTAGAATTTCTAAACTTACACAGCGCACTATTTAGGGAGTACAGCGCCATTAGCATGTTAACTATCTTTTAGCTTGTTAGCCAGCTGATCAGCCTAAATAAGAAAATAAGCTGTCAGTCCCTCAGTTTAAACAGAACCAGGATCATCAGTTGCTGTGAGGTGGTCAGTGTGTGCATATTATGCATTTTACAACAGCTCAGCCAATCAGATTTTAGAACCAGAGCTCTCCATTTTATAATTACATTTTGGGTGTGCTACAGAAAATAACCTCAGTGTGGAGGTCACTCAGGTGTGAGTCAGAATCGGCAGCCATTTCTTAAGATGAAGTGTTCAGTATAGGGGATAATAATGCTCTTATTAAAGTTTATTAAGGCAGTATCTGCTAATTAACTGTCTGCTTATTATGACTTTATTACTACTTTATTAAGCAATTAAGAGTGAACTACTTTATTAAGAGTGAACTAGAAGAGGGAAGTTTGTCCTGGCCTAAAGAAGTCAGCTAAAATGTTTAGTTAAGGCAGTTGTAGAAAGCTGTTGATATTCCAGGTAGTTGCTGTGCAGTTGCTATGGTGTTCCAGCTGGTTGTTAGGCCATTGTTTAGGTGGTTGCTAGATCACTGGTATGGAATTCTAGTAGTTGCAGATGGTTGCTAGGGTTTTGCTATGTGTTTGCTATGGTGTTGTTCATGGTTGCCAGGGTTTTGTTTGGCAGTTGCTATGGTAACTTTGGTGGTTGCTAGTGGGTTCCTGTGGTGTTCCAGGTGGTTGCTAGGCTGTTGCTATAGCATCTCTGTGGTGGTTGCTAGGTTGTTGCTACAGTATCTCTGGTGGTTGCAGGGCTGTTGCTATAGTATCTGTGGTGGTTGCTAGGCTGTTGCTATAGTATCTGTGGTGGTTGCTTGGCTGTTGTTACAGTATCTGTGGTGGTTGCTAGGCTGCTGCTATAGTATCTCTGGTGCTTGCTAGGCTGTTGCTACAGTATTTCTGGTGGTTGCTAGGCTGTTGCTATAGTATCTGTGGTGGTTCCTAGGGTGTCGCCATAGTATCTCTGGTGGTTGCTAGGGTGTCGCTATAGTATCTCTGGTGGTTGCTAGGGTGTTGCTATGTTTTTTCTATAACATTGGAGGTGATTGCTAGAGTGTTGTTAGGAGGTTACAATGCTGTCTCTCATGGTTGCTAGGGGGCTGTTTAGTTCTTGGTATGGTGTTCCAGGTGGTTGCTAGGGTATTGCTAGGTGGTTGCTAGGGGCTTGTTAGGTTAGGGTTAGAGTTAAGGTTAAGGTTGGTATGGTATCCAAAGCACTTGTTTATGAGTATATGAATTTGTATGAAATGTCAATGTCAATGACATACAAATGAAGGTGATCTGAAAAATGCATACTCTACTTATTGTGTAATAAAGCAGTAATGAGCAGTCAGTTAATTGGCATTATTGCCTTAAAAAGGCTTAATATTAGTCAGTATTTGTTTTTAGCAACTGATGTTGCTGCAGTGTCCCTTTTACAGATCAAAGAATGGACAGAAACAAAAAGAAAATCAACAGATGAGATAAAAATACACTAAACATCACAAAACACAAACATCTGCCATCGTCAGCTGTCTCCGAAAGTCAAAAGAGAAAGATACGTTTTAAGTTTAGACTTGAAAGACAGTACGGAGGCGAATATCAGTGTGTGACTCTCTGTGCATTCAAAGACAGTTTTTATGTAAAGTAACCTGTTTATCAGTATATCAAATATTTGGTAAATCTTTGAATGGTGTCTATATAGAGTCACCATAATTCCGTCATAAACACTGAATGATGAATTTAAAATGCATCACATTTATGAATAAAATTCACATTCACATTTATGAATTAAGTAAATTACATTGCAATGAGATAAGAGCCCTCAAAATAAAGTGGCAAATCCATTTATAACCCTGTTATGAGGTGTTATTCCCACTTAATGGGTCGTATAAGGCAGAGAACTTGGTTAGAAAACCAGGTACTGAATCAGTTCTATAGAATGTTCTAAAATATGGTCTTAAATAAGGAAGTCCAGAGAAACCATGAGGTAGGTATTATTTTCTGGATTGTTATCTTGTGATCTCAAGACGAAAAAAGTCACTATCTTGAGATCACAACTTAATTATCTTGTGATCTTGACAGAACAAAAGTTATTATCTTGAGATTATGACTTCATTACATTGTGATCTCAAGATAACAAAAGTTGTCATCTTGAGGTCACGGCTTAATTATCTTGTGATCTTGAGATAAAAAGATATAACTTCATTACATTGTGATCTCAAGATGAAAAATATTGAGATCACGACTTAATTATCTTGTGAACTTGAGATAAAAAGTCATTATCTTGAGATCACAACTTAATGATCTTGTGACCTCGAGAGAACAAAAATTGTTATCTTGAGATCATGACTTAATTACATTGTGATCTCAAGATAACAAAGCTTAATTATCTTGTGATCATGACTTAATTACATTGTGATCTCAAGATAACAAAAGCTTAATTATCTTGTGAGCACGAGAGAACAAAAGTTTTCTCAAGATCACAACACATTAAGTCGTGATCTCTCTCTGTATATATTTACTTTTATTATTTATTTAGTTACTTACTTTTTTATTTTATTAATCAAATTGGATTTTAAATTTTTCTGTGTGATTTATTTGTAATTAAAGCTGTACAGTCACCCCATCAAATTTAGGCTGGCAGTCTGAACAAAGCTTTTGTCATCTTATGAATACTGATACAAGTGGTTCTTAAATAACCACATATTGCTTCTCAAACATCTTATTCAGTGCTTATGCATGTGTTATGTAGATAGCATTTAAACAAAGTGGTAGCAGATTTATGAAGAGTTATAAAGACACCTCGCAGTCATGAATGTTTCCTTCATTCCTCTCTGTAGTACATGGTCATTCTGCTGGTAGTCTTTCTTTTCCAGTTCGGCGTGTCCTGCTCCTGTCTGGCCTTCAGTACAGAACAACAGGTAAATGCTGGAACAAAAGTTTACCCACACTGGCTTGTGAGGACATTTGATTGGCAGAAAAATTTCTTTAATCCTGCTCCCTACGGTCAGTCAATGAGAGAACAAACATGTGCAGTGCTCAAAAGTAGTTTTGGGACACTTCTGTTATTATTTCCTTTTAGAATGATTTCATTTGACAAAGTATTGTGGAAATGGTGCTTTATCATATTCATAACTCTTAATAAGGATTGTTCTTCAAAAGTTCTTTAGTAAAGACACTGGTTCTATATAGAACCATGAAGGACCACCTGCATGATTAAATGGTTCTTCAAATTGATGGATAATGAATTGTATATAGTTCTGTACAGCACCAAAAAGGGTTCTGCTACTGTGTACAAGCTTGACATCGTAACAACAGAAGAACCCTTTTCAGTGCTATGTAGAACCATTTATAACACATTATCCATCAATCAAAACCATTTAAGCATGAGTTTCTTTGTGTTTTAAGTTCTAGATGGAAACACTGTCTTTTCTAAAGAACCAACTTTTCAAAGAGTGTACATCATTTCAGCTCAATTATAACTTATCAATCAATACTTTGAGCCCAACTGAGCTACAGTAAACTCAAGAACAATCACTCAAAATCTTTATTTTTATACTCTTTCATCTTTTCAGCTCTTGGCCCACCACAAACATCCCCCCAAGACAAAAAGTTTACGTACCCCTGCTGTACAATGTCCACATTTCTTCTCATTCATTGTCCTTTTCTACTCTCAGTGCAGTGATCCTACAGTGCAGCAGTACAGCATTATTCTCATCATGTGTCTGTATCAGCGTTGTGAACGTGTCTTGTTCCAGGAGAACGTTCTCCATAGCTCCTGGGGAACAATGGACAGTGACGCTAGAAAAAATCTGGAGCAGCACATGGATTGCTGTGGTCTGATCGACAGTCCTGAGAAGAGAGAGGAGTTCAGCATGGATGCCAGTCTCTGCACTGCTGTACAAACACACTGCCTATACTGTATACTGCCTGATATATATATATATATATATATATATATATATATATATATCACTGTATCACTACATCATGAAAGTTGGTTCTAGTATGCAGACATTAATTAGACTGTAAAAACTACTGAGAAAACTCTAAATAGGCAACATGTTTGCTCAACAGCTGCTTTTTGTAGTCATCCTTAATAATGTTCATTTGTTTACATTTGTTTGCTTGTCCAACGTTAAGCTGGCAATAAAATCCAAAACTTTCAGGAAAAAAACATAGCCTCTATTAGAACATTTGGCAATCCAATCCAGAATGGCTTCCAGTCAATTGTATTAGAGAGGTAAACTAATGCAGATTTGGAATTATACTCAGTTTACCAGTGCAGCATGACATGCTGCCTGAGCACGGAATCGAACCTCAGCCTGCTGTGCAGTACAAAGTGCAAGCAAAAGACCAGATGGTTGTATTTTTATTAACACACACTTCATCTCAACAAGTATTTAATAAATGAATTCTTGTACTTAGCAAACAGATGCGTGAACAATCAGAGGGGTTCTGTGCTCTTTCATTGTTCTGTTGGTAATCAAAAATGTATCACACATTTGATATTTTGGGATATTTATTCTCTTAAAAAATAGCCACTTAGATATTAAATCCATATTAAGTACCTAAGATTAAGTACATAACATGAATATGCAGTGGAACAATGTCAATGTCATTTAATGCTGACTTACTCTTTTAATTGATCTGATATTAAAAGCCTTAAATTTACAGTCATGCCTTTAAATTCTTTAAAGTGTTAGTGGTGAACAGCTTATTAGTCTTATCTGTTTAATTCAGTACATTTTCTTGCTGTAAAGTTGCTGCTAACAAACAAGACACACCATCCTTAACAGTACATCGCAGATTAACCTCAGTAACGATGATTACACAATCCACTGTCAAGAAATCTGAAAATCTCAGTCCATCATTGTGTCAGTTCATTCCAGATTTCAGCTCTGTCCACGCACACTGAGTGTTTCAGCCCAGACTGCTTTTTGAAAGAGGCACAATACAGGACAGCTAATCAGAACAGAGCTCGTTTACATATGTCAGTCTTAAAGGTGCAGTCACAAAAACAGCCTGTTAAATTCTAACATTGTAAAATAGTCAGTAAAAATAAAGCCTGACTGTTTTTTTGTCTAAAAACAGCATAGAAGCTATTAGAGGTTGAATAAAGAACATGGAAAATGTAACATATGGACCATTTAATGAGTTCACATGAATCCAGGGAGGACTGTAATGCACTGCTCACAAAGTTACTCCTACACACTGAATTGCACACAAGCCAATATAGACATTGCTCTCTCTTTAGTCATATATACAAATATTACTTATAAATGTTTTGGGAATAATTAGTTCTTCTGATGTCTGTCTTTAAGGCCTGTAAAGTCAAAGGGATCTGCTTCAAATGTGGGGATCTACTACTGGAGGATGGTGGTGAAGCTCTGAAGATCCTGGGTGGTGTTGGACTCTTCTTCAGCTTCTCAGAGGTCTGTCTGTCCACTTGCTTTTTTTAGCTCAGAAACATCATTCCAGATTCATACTATGAAACGTGGCAGCCCTATCGACTCATATTCATTCAATGTTCTTATTAACATCTCTAATAAAATACAGTCCAATAAAATACAGTCCACATTCAAATTGAGGACACCTCAATTTACCCAACTCAAACTTTTAGTTCAGTCAAAGGTTCCACGAACTTTCACTATAGGCTGCTCAAAGGGTTGGAATTACTTGCCATATTAACCATTTTTGTAATTTTATAGCATATACAATTTTTTTATAATTTACTCTTAAAAAAGATGGTTCTTCAAGGGTTCTTTAACAAAGATCATGACTCTATGAACACTCAAAGAACCATGTGCATGCTTAAATGATGAACTGGTTCTTTAGATTGATAAAGAATGTGTTCTATATAGCACCACAAAGGGTTCTTATTGTTACAAGCTTGACATTGTCACAATAGCAGAACAGTGCTATAAAGAACCATATGCAACACAACCTCCCTCATCTCACCATTTAAGTATGGAAATGGTTCTCTGACCATTCATATTTCTATATAGAGACATTGTCTTTATTAAAGAACACTTGAAGAACCATCTTTTTTAAGAGTGTACCCCACCTTTAGCTGGTGTTTTCATTTGTTCTTTTTTTATGTCTGGACCTGTGAATTAAGATCTACAATGAGGGGCAGTGTGTCATGCATGTGATGTTTTGTTTTGTTTTTCTTTAAGCTCCTGGGTGTTTGGCTGGTGCTGCGCTACAGGAACCAGAAAGACCCTCAAACCGGCCCTGATGCTTTCTAACCACCATTCCAGACCAGAGCACCAGAACACCTTCACTATCTGTCCAAAAGTTTGTGTTTCTTCTGAAATGAAGGTGTTAATAGTGAGTGTGTTCTGCAGTAACAGCCCCTACTCCCCTAGACTGATGTTGGAGATGTTGGAACACTGCTGTGAAGATTTGAGTGAGCATTAGTGAGGTCAGCTACTGATGCTGGATGGTCAGTTCTGGATCACTTCAACTCTTCCCAAAGGTATTGGCCCGGAACTCCATCACTCCAGAGAACACAGTTCGCTCCACAGCCCACTGCTGGGGGGCTTTATACCCCGCTAGCCCACGCTTGGCATTGGACATGGTGACCTTAGGATCATGTGCAGTTGCTCCAGAGCGTCCCATTCTATTGGTCAGTGCTTTTCTATGGACATTATACAAGCTGTGAGTGCAGCTGAACTCACTCTTTAGGAGGACACTTCTGGACAGATAATGATTGTGAAAAATGTGGGAAATGTCATATATAATATATAATAAAGTTATCCGTTTTTTACCTTTTACTAATTATAGGGTGTTCCTTACCTTTTTTCTTACTGCAAAGGCCACTCTGAGTGCAGTGCTGAATGGAGTGAAGTTTCTTTCATGTGGCCTCCAGTTCAAACCCAAACTGAAATAAGAGAGTTTATCTGTGTAAAACAAGATCACTGCTGTTTTGAATAGTTTCAAAAACATTAGTGAAGTCCACCGTGAGGCTTTGTGAATAATACACTGCACTCAGAAACAAGCTGAGGTGACAAAATTAGTCTGCACTCTCTGCAGGTTTCAGATGTTTTGCGCAAGTATTTGCTTATGTATTTACATTTGGTGCCAGTTTATTAGGTCAACCTACCCTGTACATACACTTCTCAGCCATAATATATCACCAAAAATGTAGTGCACTTTGTAGGATTACAGTTACAGACTGTAGCCCAAAATCCTTCTGTGCCAGTCTTATTGGATCTCAGGGCAGCTTTTGATACTGTTGATCACAAGATTCGAATCCACCATTTTGAATTCTGGGTCGGCATCTCAGGCACAGTTTTAGAATGGTTTAAATCATATTTAATTAATAGACAGTTCTTGGATTCACTGAGAAATCATTCATTAAAAAAAGTTAACATTTCTTGTGGAGTCCCTAAAGGTTCAGTTTTAGGGCCTTTGTTTTTCTCTTTGTACATGTTACCTCTAGGTGATGTCATTAGGAAACATCAATTTTCATAGCTATGCTGATGACACAGAATTCTACATTTCCATTCCTTCTGATGATCAAGATTCTGTAGACAGCCTGACCAACTTTTCTACAGCTTAATCACAAAAAACTAAAATACAGATCGTTGATGCTAAAACTCAGAGAAAGCTGCTTTATGAGAAGCTCGGCTCTTTAGCTTCATGTACCAAGCATGCAGGAAACCTAGGTGTGATCTTAGACTCTGAGCTCTGTTTCATCTGCATGTAAACACAACCACTAAAGCAGCTTTTCATCATGTGAGAAACCACTAAAGTTCAGCCTTTTCTGTCTCAGAGCGATGCAGAGAAACTTGTTGAGGCGTTAGTTCAGCAGAGTTGATCACTGTAATGATCTTCTTACTGGAGAAAACAATCCATCCTCTACAACTCGTACAGAACGCAGCAGCGCAGATCCTCACAGAGACACAGAGAGCTCATATCACCCCCGTTTACACTGCACTGTCTGCCTGCATCTTTTAGGAGAGATTTTAAAGCTCTGCTGCTGGTTTTTAAAGCTCTAAATGACCTTAAAGCTCCTGAATGTCTGTCTGTTTATGATCTTAGATCTGCAGATAGTGACCTGCAGACACCTTCCATAAAATACAGAAAACATGGAGAGTCTTTCTGTTATTCTGCTTCTAAGATTTTAAATTAATACTCATAGCTTCTTTCACTACTGTTGAGCTTTATCACCTAACTGTAAAGCACTTTGAGCTGCCACTGCAAAGTGAAAAGTGCTATATAAATAAAGACTGTTATTATCTGTTACTGCTCCCCACTATGATGGTAAGGGACCACAATAGCCTAGATATTATTTGGGTGGTGGATCTTTCTCAGCACAGCAGTGACACTGACGTGATGGTGACATGGTGCTGGTATGAGTGAATGAGTAAAAAATGATCATTTTTAAGTTTAGTTGCTTTGAAAGAAGAAATATCAGGCTGGTCTCGGGTGATATTCAAGGTTTCGATATCAGATTAGTATTGGCATCAGTATCAGCTAATACTCAAGGTTTAAAGGTACAGTAAACAATTTTGAAGAATGATTGCTGATATTTGAACTTAAGAGCAAAACAAACACCCCCTCCCTTCATTCCCCCTTCAGAAGCTCTGCCCCCCAAATTAATGGACGTGCATTGCCGAGGTGAACGACACTTTTTAGATCTTTGTGGCCATAAAACTCTTTGCAAACGCTGTATGAACAATGTGGCTTCATTCTCTGCTCAGGATGCTGTTACTCCACTAAATCTCTACATAGAAAACAGTTGTTTGCTGCTATTTCAACTCAAAGATTCAATGTCAGATTGACATGGGTATCGGCTGACACCGAAGGTTTAAATATCTGTATTAGAAAAGTAAAGGTAGTATCATGCTGTCATAAATTAATCCAGTGTAAGTTGGTCAGATTTTCACTAGTCAGCGATCAGTGCTGTATTTTTTTTTAAGTCATCACAACCTGATACAGCTCTCAGCAGTGTCACTTCAAGGGTCAGACAGGACTGTTCACTGCCCAGAAATATCCAGCCAAGAGCGGTCCTGAGGTCAGAAGCGAACCGCTGATGAAGGACAATAGGTCAGTTGTACTGAGAATGCTTGTATAATGCAGGTGTGTCTAATAAACTACGTATAAATGTACAATGACATCGAAGAAATATAGAATCAGCCAACACAGACACCAGCAACTAACAATCTTTAAAATTATTCATTTTAAAACATCATCTTCCTTAAAGATTACTTAACGTTTCAAAAATTGAGTATCGGCTGATACTCATGGTTTCAATATTTGATTGGTATTGGATAATACTCAAGGTTTTAATGTCACATCAGTATCAGCTGATACTCAAGGTTTCAATATCTGATTGGTAGTGGCCATTACTCAAGGTTTTGATATTAGATCATCTGCCAATACTCAAGGCTTCAATATTGGATCAGTATCAGTCGATAGTCAAGATTTTGATGTTAGATCAGTATCAGCGGTACAAACTTTCAATATTGGCATCAGCCGATCCTCAACGTTTCAATATCGGTACCGGCCAATACCAATCTGATCTTGGCCGGTACCGATATTGACACGTTGAGGTACTCAAGGTTTCAATGTAGGTATCAGCTGATACTTAAGGTTTGAATATCGGTATTGGTCAAGACTCAAGATTTTAAGATAAGATGGGTATCTGCCCATTCTCAAGGTTTCAATATCGGTATCAGCCGGTCTTCAAGGTTTCAATGTCGGTATCAGCCCATCCTCAAGGTTTAATATCGGTATCGGCCGATACTCAAGGTTTTAATATTAGTATTGGCCAATACTCAAGATTTTAAGACTAGATCAGTATCGGCTCATACTCAAGCTTTCAATATATGTATCAGCTTGTCCTCAAGGTTTCAATATCGGCATCAGCCTGTCCTTAAGGTTTCAATATCAGTATCGGCCAATATTTAGGGTTTCAATATCGGTATCGGCCAAGATTTTAAGATTAGATCAGTATTGGCCGATCCTCAAGATTTCAATATCACTATCGGCCAATACTCAAGAGTGGTATTGTGACATTAATCCACCGTTAGTTGGTCAGATTGTCACTACAGTGATCACTCAGATATTTAACAAGACAACAAACAGATGCATGTAAAAGATAAACAGCTTTAATAGGGTTTAGCCACATCAAAGTGTTACACATCCAGAAAGTGATACAAAACTCAGTTTGGAAGGACAGAACAGAGGATTAACAATCACTTGGGACCAGTTCCACATTCACCGCCTCTCACTGACCTGAATGTGAGTGAGCTTGGAAATACTCAAATACCACCTACTGACCAAAACACAATGGAAAAAACACTGGACATACTAATTACTTTATGGCCAATAACGCTCCTCAAACATGAAATATATATTGTATGTATAAAAAAAAAACACTATGTAATACAATCTATCTGGTAACTGAGTGAGTTTTGCACCTCTGCACTGCTGTGTGTGGAAGAGAGTCTCAGCATTCAGAGAACACCAGTGAAAAAACATGGTGATCTTCCTGCTGTTGGTCCATAATCACTGTGACTTTATTTCAACGCTCTGCTATTGAAACAAACATTTTGGCCCAAACAAAACTGGAAACTTGGTGTTTGTGAACGGAGTACAGTGTTGATCTCCAGATAAACATTACAGTTTAAAAAGCAGAACAGATCTAAACCTGCGTAACGGCACTTTAATTCGTACCAGAACTGCTTTAAAGGGGAATTCCACCAATTTAGAAAAAATCCTGCGCAATTAAACTGTTGAGATGTAAACAGTCATTCAGAATGGTTTGGTGTGAAATGCTCCATTCTAGAGAAAGAACTGTTCACAGTGGTGGTGATAGGAACCAGGCATCCACCTCTAAAAGCTCCCTCACAGAAAGTTATTATATGAAATGGTTATGAATTCACTGCCTGATGACTGAGACACTGTTTTATGATAGTTTTGATTATTTCCAGATTTTCCACTATTTTCCCAATATTCCACCTCACTGTCGTCTGAAGAAAACCTTGCATCTCCATTTTTGACGTTTTCAAGTTTTCGACATAATTTGAAAATACCTGTTACCCTTCACCTTGTCTGTAAATTTCATGATGAATGGACTAAAAGAAACAACCGAAAAAGTCTGGTTCCATTGACTTGCATTAAAAGTAAAGTAGGTTTTTTCCTTCTCCTGTAAAGTTACCATTTGGGAGATACGAGGTTTTCTTCCAACAACAGCGATATACACACCGATCAGGCATAACATTATCACCACCTCCTTGTTTCAACGCTCCTTGTCCATTTTATCAGCTCCACTTACTATATAGGTGCACTTTGTAGTTCTACAATTACAGACTGTAGTCCATCTGTTTCTCTGCATACTTTGTTAGCCCCCTTTTACCCTGTTCTTCAGTGGTCAGGACCCCCATGGACCCTCACAGAGCAGGTACTATTTGGGTGGTGGATCATTCTTAGCACTGCAGTAACACTGACGTGGTGGTGGTGTGTTGTGCTGGAACGAGTGGATCAGACACAGCAGTGCTGCTGGAGTCCACTCACTGTCCACTCTATTTGACATTCCTACCTTGTCAGTCCACCTTGTGGATGTCAGAGATGATAACTCATCTGCTGCTGCACAGTTTGTGTTGGTCATCCTCTAGTCCTTCATCAGTGGTCACAGGACGTTGTTGGCTGGATATTTTTGGTGCGTGGACCATTCTCAGTCCAGCAGTGACACTGAGGAGTATAAAAACTCCAGCAGCCCTGCTATGTCTGATCCACTCAGACCAGTGCAACACACACTAACACACCACCACCTCGTCAGTGTTACTGCAGTGTTGAGAATGATCCACCACCCAAATAGTCCCTGCTCTGTGAGGGTCCATGGGGGTCCTGACCACTGAAGAACAGGGTAAAAGGGGCTAACAAAGTATGCAGAGAAAATGCACAATGAGCATAGAAACAAGGAGGTGGTCATAATGTTATGCCTGATCGGTGTAAACTTAAATGACAAGTGTAGGTTCACTGGTGGTTTTGGATAGTAAATAAAATGTCTGTATTTGTGTTGTAGTCATGGTGGCCCCTGGTTCCTATCACCACCACTATAAAGAAATCTGAAGAATTTCACACCAAACCACTCTGAATCACTCGGATTACATTTCAATCTTGCTGCAATTTTAAAATTGGTGCAATTCCCCTTTAAATGGAAATCTTGCTGGAGAAAGAGTGAAAAAGCACTTTAGCTTATTTATTTCACCTTATGTGCCCTGATGTTCATTCATACTGATTACTGTTAAGGGGGGGCACTGCAGTGTAGAATCCTGCCCTGTGTTGATCATCGCTGTTTATAAAAATAGAAATCATCTAAAATACATAATGAAAATAATGATTTTGGAAAGTTAATAATGCACACAGTGTTAGATTTGCATATTATTTTGGGTAACATTTATTGGCAGTTAAATATGTTTGTGTTATTAGGCTAGAACAGTTAAGCTTGCCTTTTTAATCTACTTAGGACACTCTTTGGGCCAGTTGTTGAATCGGCAGGTCAGTTATTTGAAGACACCCAGCCCAAGACGTCCTAATCTTTTTTCTCCTGGCATGGATGCTAGCATTTGGCTGTGAGGTAAAATAAAAAAGTGGAATTTAGAGAAGTCATGAAAATGTACTTTAAAACACAACTAGACGGATTTAACTGTGATGCAGTCAGTAAAGTGCCAGTTTGCAAATCCTGGCTTTCAAATTCCACCAGAACGTTATTTATTTATAAACTTATTTACTGAAAACAGCAACCAGTGAACGCTTTAGCATTACGCTTTTGACAGCAGTCCAGTTAACAGAAACGTTAAGGAGCCCATATCATGGAAAACTTTTTTTTTAAATGAAACGTGTATGTAAATACTGTTGAAGTTTCAAAACATTCAAAACAGAACGCTCACTCCTCAGTCCACAAAGCCCAGACTGAAAAACAACCTGACTGAAATTCAATTTCTGGACATTATATTTGCAGTTTAGCCCATTCAAGCTGAAGTTATAAGGAGCGTTTCAGTCCAGACTGCTTTTTGAAAGAGGCAGCCAATCAGAACAGAGCTTTTTAACATATATCCTAAAGACACAGCAACAGAAACAGCTTGTTTAATTGTAAGAGATAACGAGAGGCTGGAAAATGATCACATAGAAATGAATGATGACTGTTTTTGGTACACAAAACCACACAAATATCATAAGTGGACCTCAGAGAATAAAACAAAGACAAGACTAATGTCAGATTTGGGCCCTTTTAAGGTTTCTGCTGCTCAAATGAAATGCCTGATAGGAAGATTTGGCAGTAAGAGGTATAAGATGCTACACCGCTGACGGCATTTGTTATGTACGCACTGTGAGGCTGTAAAAGATTTTAATGCTTGCTTTCACTCACCGAGTACTGTTTCTCATGAATGCTACCATTTTCATACACTATCTGTCCAAAAGTCTCCAAACAGCTCTTCTACTGAGTTCAGCTGCACCCACTGCCGACCCAGCTTGTATAATCTCCATAGAAAAGCACCGAGCAATAGCATGTGACACTGTGGAGCAGCTGCACATGATCCTAAGGTCTCCATGCCCAATGCCAAGCATGGGCTAGAGGGGTATAAAGCCCCCCAGCATTGGGCTGTGGAGCAGTGGAACTGTGTTCTCTGGAGTGATTGAGCTCCATCCAATACCTTTGGGATAAGTTGGAGTGATCCAAAACTGACCATCCAACATCAGTACCTGACCTCACTAATGCCCAATCAGATCCTCACAGCAATGTTCCAAAAACTCCCGTTAAGTTCAGAAGAAGCTCCGTCTACAGACTTTTGGACAGATAGGATCAGTACCCAAATGTTATCAAGATGACTGGATTTTAGTTGTTTAAAATAAAAATAATAAAAATCTACCCTTCATGTACAACATTTACACCAACCTGTCTTCAACAACACAAGTTTGGGAGTCAGTTTCCATGGATACCATGACCCGCTCGTCCCCGGCCATCGGTCTGATTCGTGAACCCACATTAAAACAAACAGCCCAGACGTGCTTAATGTATTTACGTTACAAGCATCTCCCTCACTTTCTTTCACAGAACTGAAGAGATTTCAGCCACTGTGTCCTAAGAATTAACGCCGGGCTCTGAGAAGAAGCGGTGCTCCTGAGCGTTCAAGGCTGAGATTCTCCTCAAGGGGTCAAAAGTTAGCATTTTCTGTTAAGAAAGAGAAACAAATTTTAATTTCAAATTTCACCAACACACTGACTGACAGAGAGAGAAACAGACATCTTGGTAAAGTGAAGCGATTGTGGCATATTCATGAAATTTGAAGCTTAGATAAAAAGATTCATGTAATTTCATGTAATAACTTTCTGTGAGGTAGCTTTTAGAGGTGGACGTCTGGTTCCCATCACCACCACTGAACAATTGTGACTTGGTAAGGTTCTCTAGAACGGAGCTTTTCCCACCAAACCACTCTTAACAACTCTGTTTACATCTTGACAGTTAATTATGCAGGAATTTTGAAACATTGGTGGAATGTCCCTTTAAGTGAACACGGAATGCATGTTTGATTAGAAGTATCTAATTTTTTTTACAAATACTGGGGGACTAAACACAAAAAAGACAAACAGTTTAATTTGTAAAATACATTATCAAAAAAGCTGTGCTTACTTAAAGAAGCACTTATTTATTGGATATAAAAAAACACAAATGTCATGAAGATGCAACAAAAATAATAACCTTCACTTCAGTAAATGTAAAATGATTAAAATGACTGTGTAATAAATGTTCCACTGTCAACACCAGGTTCACAGCAATGATTAATAAATGTTTACCAAAATGTATCATTTTGAATTTTTACCCCCTTTGGTCATTGTCAATTTCCATCCACTAGACGGAGCTCACCAAACACTAACAGGGCAGAATCCTCTAATTAGATTCTAAAAAAGTAAATACGAAGCTTTTAGATACTGAAGCTCAAAATACCAATAAAAGATCTGCTCCCTCTTCACTGATCTCAGGAACGTAGTCTGCGACTGGCTGAGGATTTTGGGGGCTGAAGTTCTGTCGGGAGAGCGTGACATCAGTAGGCCACTCCTCCTCGCCGGGCAGGCCAATAACCCTGAGGGAAATAAGCCAATAAGGAACTGTTATTCATGACAATCTCTAGAATCAGATCTAACAGTTACACTCAGCTCTGCAAAGCTACGATGACCTGCTGTTTCAGATCCAGCAGAAGGTCCATCTTCATTTTTTATATTGTATTATGTTATTTATCTCTTAGTTTAATCCTCGTTATCAGTCTGTGTTCTTGTCTTGTCTGTTCAGTGTGTTAATGTCATACATGTGTGACTCAAAACTGATTGCTTGTGAAATAAAGCAATTCTGATCTAACTGACTCACACAGGTCGCACTGGGCGATATATCCACTGTGCCGGTGAGATCCGCTTTGACACTGACAGACTCAGAAAGTGAGATATTACAGTAAAATTACTTACGAAAAAATCTTTGTCAGTTGGTCCACTTCTGACTCTCCGCAGAACAGAGGCCTGAAAAACAAGGTGAGGAGCACAGAGAAGAAGTGACGAGCATGAACAGAGACCCACCAAAATAATTACGCGTAGCAATACATTAAATGACCACCAGATGTCAGTACTAGGTAAGAATATATAAAAGAACAGAGCTCGTCAAAACAATCACAACTTACTTGCGGCGGAACATCTCTGCAAAGATGCAGCCTGTGCTCCAGATGTCTACAGGTGTTGCGTAGGTAGACTGGAGCAAGACCTCCGGAGAGCGATACCACAGAGTCACCACCTGAGAGAGAGAGCTACATTGGCACTGGAGCTACATGGCAAACATAGTCAATACCAGAAGTCAACAGTCACCAAATCTTTTCTGTAATTACATCCCCCAAATTTCTCAGCCCTCTCAAACAACATCCAGGTCTTCATTAAGGTGGTGCAGTAGTTGTGGTTCAGGACTCAGTGTGACTCAGTATGAGATATAAACACTAAACTTCACCGTGTAGCTGAACGCTGCAGACAAACAGGTGCTGTACTGAATTCTGACTCCTCGCAGAATCTGCACTGCAAAAAATTATATCTGAGGAAGCGAAAACATCTTAATTGCAGTCAATATAACTGATAATTCTCATAATGAGATTGTTGTCAGCTTATTATAACACACACACACACACACACATACACATATATATATATACATACACACACATACATATATATATACACACATATATATATACACACACACATATATATATATATATATATATATATATATATATATATATATATATATATTAGGGGTGGGAATCTCTAGGCACCTCACGATTCGATTATGATTCAGAGGGCTGCGATGCGATTATAAAGAGATTATCGATGCATCTCGATGCATCTTTTTTTTCTATATAGCATTTATATTTGAGCTCAAGTTTCGAGTTCAAGTTTCAAGTTTATTTGTCATTTGCACATGTCAGGACATTTATGCATTGAAATGCTTGTGGTGAGGCTCAGCTAATCACTCTACAGAAAGTAAATAAGTAAAAATAAAAATACAAGAAAAACCAACTGAAATATATTAAATGTACACAAAATACATACAGAATATAGAGACAATATACATTTTAAAGTGACTAAGTAACTCGGTGTTATTGTTATTTAAAGTTTGTAATGATCAATAATGAATTTACTTCCAATATCTTTTTTAATAAAACAAATGGAAGTGATCTGGCAAGTGAACTAGAAGGCTCTCATTCAGTGCTCTTGTTTGGAGCACGAGACACTGCTGCTACTCATCTGTGATAAAATGCGCAGTTACGGTGAAATAAGATCCAGTGGTGATAGATGTCCACGCATCACATGTTACAGCTATTCTACCCGTTTTCTTTAGTGATTTTATAACTTCGGTTTTGGTCTCGTTGTAGAGACGGGAGGGGATTGCTGTGTCAGTAAAGTATCTTTGAGACGGGTCGTGTGCAGCGTAGCGCGAAAGCCCTGTTTCGCAACGACTGAGAACCGGCGTGCAGACTGCAGGTCACCTAGCAACGATGCGTTACTCGCATTTATAAGCACTGCAGTTGGTTTCCTGGTACATTAAATCTACAATGAGAGACTGTCAAACACTAAAAAGTGGCAAAGCTGAAGTCAACTTCTCTTTTGAATTCTCCTATTCCACCTTAAATGGTTCCGCATTTACATTCGGCGCCTTAGAATTTAAGGTGGAACGGGTAAATTCGAACAAGAAGCTGGAGAATAAGAAGCGACTTCAGCCTCGTAAAACAGTCGAACACAGAGGCATTTAACTGATCCACTTCTGAGGAAAAGTTTTCTGGAGGAGACGGGAGGAAAGTGGCTGTATGCGAAGCTTAAAAGCAGAGCGAAGTAAATCTGCATTTTCGTTTATATTGTTTAACCTATACTAGGACATTATCACACACTGACACATACTGGACATTAAATGTTGTGGCTCCCAAGGTGGTTTGATTTTTGTTGAAAGGACAAAATGGCTCTCATTTGGGTTGTGACTCCTGACCTAACCTGGCAGAGGGAGCCGGTCAGATTTCTCGATCATCCACTTGTGTTTTTGTTATGTGCCGCCATATATATATATATATATATATATATATATAGCCTAATGCTGATTTAACGATACAAGTTTAACAAGAACTGAATGCAGTTTGTTTTTAGGGATGTCAGGGACGTCTTCACAGACTAGATTTGCATTACTTCTAGTGTTAGCTACGTTAGCCTCCTAGCTCTGTTTCTAACCTAAAGAAATTATTTCAGTAACTCAAATCACATCCAGCTCTCCGTTAAGGTGGTTCAGACTAGTACATGAGGTTTAGGACACAGTATAAACTCACTGTGAGAGCTACATATGTTTTATGTTTCTTGGCTGATCGACTGGATCTGGGGTCAGTGGAAAATTTTTGTACATTTGATTTTCAAACCATTCATTAACTCTTACTTTGCACTCTTATTAGGTACAGATGCATCTTTAATAGGAGCTGCACAGACTAGGATGCTATAAGTAGTCGCTGGTCACGTGATTATGACACTAACCACATGGACGCCTCAGAGAAGACAGCAGGTGAGGAGTCTGGAGATTGCACTGTCCGTATCTCTGGGTTCCTGAAGGCCAGCAATGTGAAACGTCACGCTCTACTGACCTGTGGAGTTTGGCTTCATCACAGATTTTTAAAGTTGCTTGTTGCGAAGCATTCCCTTCTCCTGTGGTTTTATTCATGACATCAGCAATTAGTCGACGTCAACTTGACTTTCATCACAAAACTGGACACTTTAAAAAAAAATCTGAAGTCGTGCAGCCTCCAGTATTTAACCCACTGGGGTTGACTAACAGACCAGCGTGTCAAATTAGATGTTTCTCTGTGTTTCTATTAATATCTTTGTGATAATCCAGCGCAGAAATACAGTTCAAACATTTCCTGAATGTGTACAGTCGCCCTTTCCATTTCATCTCATCACGAGATCAGAGTTATGAGGCTAAGAAGAACGGTTGAGATACATGGCATCTGCCTCTCACCGTGTGGAACTGGTAGATTCATGTGTCTGTCTACATTCTGTGTGAAACTGACCAATGGACACTCAGGAAATCCCTAAGGACTGACCCATCATGCCTGAAACCCTTCATTCTTCAGTCGTCTCGGACACAGATGCGTGGTGTGTAAAATGTTTGCATCGGTTTTGGAAAGTAGTGAGGAGGAGAACATCTATCAACTGTTTTATTCACACATTCAACTACATTTGTGAACCTAAGAATTTGGTAAACACATTTCAACGCCAAAACAATTCGTCCACATGAGTAAAGCTGTTTTCACAAGAGATATTAAGAATTTCTAAAACTGGACACACAGTTTTACAGCTTTAGGGCTGAATTATCTCTGTACACAGAGCTCCAGGTCAAAAGTGCCACATTATAGAGAGAGCCGAGATTGTTCTGAACATTTTAATATATAATATGTGGGTATCATGTCGTATGCAAGAGCCTCTAAAAGCAAAATTAAGACTATATATTAAGTGAGGAAGTAGTTCACTAAAAACAGAGAAATAAAATGATGCCACATCAACTAGTGCAGGTTTGTCTATCTTACCACTGGGGTGAGCGCCATGTGGCAGCTGTAAATGCGAGCCAAGCCAAAGTCAGCAAGTTTGACCTGACCCCTGCTAGTGACCAGGATGTTCTCCGGCTTCAGGTCCCGATGGATGACTCGATGAGAGTGCAGGAAGGACAGACCACAAAGCAGCTGCTGCATCAGATCCTTTAACAACCACAAACATACAGACACATATCTTACTATGGAAAAATCACAGAGCATGTGAAATACTTTACTACATCTTCCCTATATCCAGAAAAACGTTCTAGGAACTCATTCTTTTATCTAGAACTTTTAGTAATTGCAAAAGCAAACATCACTGTTCTAACAGAGTGAAAATGTACAGTGCTGCAAATGTGAAGTCCAGACCTCAACATCACTGAAAGTGTTTGGATTACTTCAGAAAATGATCAACCAACTTCTAAGACTGAACTTTGGAGGTGTGTCCGAAGATTTCTTTGAGAAACTGAAAGTCAGTCTCCTGAAAAGAGTGGAAGCAGGAATTAAGGGAAAAAGTGTAAAATTCTGTGTAATTTTCTGTTAAATTTCTGATTCTCATTTTTTTTTTCCCATGACGCATAACCCTCTGAAAATTAAATAAATACAGGGTGCACTTTACCTTTAACAGAAGAGACTTTAACTTCTGGAAACTTCTGCTTAGAGAAACTATTTTCCCCATCTGTTCTTTACTTGTAAGATTTGATGTAGTCTGTAAACAGTGCAGGTTTCTTTGGAGCGATGCTGTAGAACAACCACCCCCTCAACAGAGGTATTAGTGTGAAGAACCTTTTACAAAGTTTAAAGAACCTTTACATGATGTGAACATTCTGCACCAATTTTTCCTAGAAGTTTTACGTTCTATGAACCTCTTTAAATGTTAAAAAGGTTCTTCACACTCAAACATCTCATTTACAACAATGGTTCTCTACAGAACCATCAATTGAACGGTTGTCTAAGGTAGCGTTTCTCAATCGTGTCCCTGAGGACCCCCTGCCCTGCACACTTTAGTGCTGTTGAATTTAGTAAATATTACAGCTGCTCACCATCAGTTTCATCTGAGGAGCTGCAGAGCCTCTCGCCTTGTAGCCTGAGACTGCTGCATCGCCTGAAGCAGCTGGCTGAGCAAGGAGCAAGGCTGACGGCTGACCCCAAGAGACTGGCTTTTCCTTCCGCTCTCTTTTTCCCGTTAACTCATTACAGTCTGATGTCGCTCTTTTGACAGTAAACCAGACTAAATGACCTCAGGCTGCAGCTCAGTACAGGAGAGGTGAGGGAAGCAGTGTGTTCTGATCTGTTTGTACATCACATTATCTGCATTTACAAGCATACCAGTATAGCAGTAATGACTAAACTAATACCTCAAGAACAATTTTAACCAGAACACCAGACATCACTCAGTACTAGGAGAACATGGTGAAACCTGCAGCAATTTCATGATGGACGACAAACTCTAAGGAATGTTCCCAGCAGCTTGCTGAATCCACACCATGAAGAATTCAGGTTGTTCTGAGAGCAGTGAGGGTTCTATTAAGTGTTAGAAAAGTGTGCCTAATAAAGTGACCAGTATGTTTTAGGAAGGTTCTCTTACCCTAATTCGGCTAATAGGCAGTCCCGGGGCTGGAGCCTTCTCCAGATACGTCTTGAGGTCCTGATCCACATGTTCAAACACCAGAGTGACTTTAGTCTCCTGGTCTGTTCTCAGGGTGGCGCACACATCCATGAGCCTGAACGGGAGGAAAGAATATGATAGGAATGCACCAAATGCACAAATTTGAGATTTTTCATGTTTTTATAGATTTGCATAGTAAAATTCTAATATTATTAATACTTTTATATTTTACTTTTAACATTTTGCTTCAGTCAGGTGCGGTGAAGTCTGGAAGTAAATCATATCACTTATTTGGCTGCACATTTCAGGACATATAATCTTAAATAAATAAATATATTTGGAGAATCGCATGTTAGGCCCATGACAGTAATTAAAATATTTTTTTAAAAAAAGAAAAAAAGTAATTCAAATAACTGTCTTTTCAAGCCAACCACAACCACCTGCTCTGCACACTGTAATTTGGCACAGTTTGCAAGACTCTTGCGATTAGAGGCAACAGCACTGATCTTCACTCAAGGTGCAGCGCAAGTAGGATTTATATGGCAATTCATTGTCCACTAAAATGATGTGATTGTGACAGGCCTAGGCTGACGTATCATAACCACCTGTGTGCCAGTAAGCCCTGATAAAGATAAAGCAGTAAAGCAGGTCTGTCCCAATTATTATGTAATCACCTGATCACAAAAATTTCGGCCGATCACAATTACTGAAGAAGACTGCAACCATTTTCCGCCACCTACAGGTTTGACACTATCAACAGCTAAGAAACAAAACAGCTAATCTGCCATTCTGTTCATTTTAGGCTTTTACTTTAACAGTTACATAAAACGAACAGAAAGACGTTTACATTGTTAATCACAGTTAATTAAATGTCAATTAAAATTTCATGATAGTGACAGGCCTACAGTGAAGTTACGTAAGCTGTTTGTAGATCAGATCAAATGTCAGGCTAAACTGCAGAATACTGTGTTTTATTTATCAGGTTATTTTGGTAAGTTTAGTCTCCCAGTTTAAGCATTTGGATGAACTGGTGCACACATAAGAGCTGTGAATGTGTAGGACTGGGCGTAGGTTGAGGATTTTGCTTTGCGAGTTTGGTTGCAGTAGGAAGTAAACAGAGAGAAGGTCACACAGGACAGAAATGATTATGACAGAAAAGCAGCCGCTCTGAAGATGAGATTAAGGCAATGTCGGAACCTTCGCAGTGCAATTACACATCACGAAACGGAGGAGCGGAGGAGTGAGCAATTTGGGACAACCAGGTTGTTTAAGCGAGCCCACAGCAACTGATGAAAGGAAAGCAGAGCTGTGTGGTGAACCTCAAAATCACAAATAAATCACAGACTATCTGCAAAGTACAGAGATTAAAGAAATGCAGAGGCTACAGATGCAAACCTCTCATCAGCAGCAGAGTGGAACTCACAAACAGGTAAAAATCAGATGGGCTGGATTACTTCCATAAGAGTTTTCTGAACAGATGAGGTGAAGGATGTTCAGGGTGGAGAAAGAGAGAGAGACTGCAGATGATTCTAAAGACATGAAATCTTAACTATGTTTACATTCAAAGAACAGCCTAATGCTGAATTCACATTTGCATTGAAAAAAAAACATCATGAAGCATGAAGCATCAACACAGCATGAAGCCACACAAGCGTTACCATGGCGACTGCGGTGCCAGCGAAAATGGAGCTTTATCAGTGTAGATCGTTTATCTAATGTTATACATATGACATTTTGAACAATACACCAGGAAACAGCTGTTTTCTATGTAAAGACATAGTGGAGTAACACCTCTGTGTGTGTGTATGTGTGTGTGTAATTCACATGTCAGGGTCCAGTTCTTGCAGGCCAAAACACTGCAGACTTTAGCACGCTGCCTCAAACACACCTGATTCAGCTCATCAGCTAATTAGCAAGACCTTCATGAACTAAATTCAGAGCATTAGAAGAGGGTAAATGCTAATATCCACAGTGCTTTGGCCTGGAAGGTCCCCAGTTTGACACGCCTGGTGTCATGTTTTTTGTTTTCATAGCTGGTTCGGCTGCGCATGCATGTTAGTCCCTCCCTGAGAAAACGTCGGCCCTCCCCACATTTTGTATTTCCCTCCCAAGAGACAAAGATGGAGTGCAGCAGGAAATGTTCAGCATCCTTTCAAATATTCCTCTACCGAATATTTCTTGAAGTTGACTTCCTGTTTGCACTTTCCTGTTCCACCTTAAATTGTGCAGAAGTTCCATTCTGAGCCTGAGGTGCCTGAACATAACTGCTGTACCATTTAAGGTGGACCAGGAAAATTCCAACAAGAAGCTGGTGAATAAGAAGCCGACTTCAGCTTCATGAAGAGCTGAAAGGCATGAGGAAGCTGCTCTGTTTCTGCTTGACAGGTGGGCAACATTAATTTCTTTTTGCTGTTTCACAGAACCAACAGGTCAGTATTGTTTTGTCTCTTTGCTAATGTTTGTGATAGCAACTGGCTAGCTTCACAGCAGCAACTGTAGCAACATAACCTTGCTAACGTTAGTTACATTACTTGTTGTGTGTTTGTTCGCTCTAACATTATATCGTGATGTTCATCCGTACAGCATTTCCAAAGGGTTTTATGGCCACGAAGCTCTTACAAAAATAAAACAAAAAACTAAACAAGTTTGATAGTTCTGTGTCATTCACCTCTGCAAAGTGTATCCATGAATTTGGCGGGGCAGAGCTTCTGAAGGAACACTGAAGGGAGGGGGGTATTTGTTTGGCTGTTGAACTCTAATATCAACAGTCATTCTCCAGAATTGTATACTGCACCTTTAAGGTGGACAGACACTCCAACATGGATTTAGCCTGATTCTAACATTACCCAGAAATAGAACCTGATATTCTCTATTTTAGCCCTGTATTTAACTTCGGATTTGAACTACACATTTCAGGAACAGGCAACAAAATCAAATTTAAACTTACTGACAATACTTGCATTTCTCGTTATATAAAGTTTATCTTTGTGTTTTCATACTTGACAATGTTTGGGTGGTCAAACTGCTCCAGTCTCTTCAACAGGGCCACCTCTCGAACAGTGGACAGGGGAAGGCCTTCCTGGTCCGTCTGCACGCGGACGCTCTTCAGGGCCACAAACTGTCCGCTTTCTCGATCCCGAGCCTTATACACGGTACCATATGCCCCGCCACCGATCTCAGCCACCGGCTCATACTGGATCACTGCCTCTTGGGCCATCGCCTGCAGAGCAAACAAGGAAGAAGTTACATTAGAAATGGAAAAGATCTAATGTGGGTGCGTGCAATATGACAGTTAAGCAAATAACAACTTCAAAATCATTCAGATACTACACTGACTTTTAACTGTGATAATGGCATTTCTGTCGTTTCCACTCCGGGCCGAAACACTATGTAACTTTAGAGGAGCAGCATGAGACCTCTCGCCAGAGCTGTGTAATGCTTTACGGTACTACGTCACACGAACAGCTCAGTTAGCTAGAAAAAGATGCAGCTCGGTATTTCACAGCATGGACATTTAGTCTGTAAAGAGACCAAAGAAGGTGCTGTCAGAGGAAGTGAGGAAGAGAAAAAGAGACAGTGATCAAGCAAGAGACCGGACAAGAGTAAATCTCAGACTAAGAGTAAATCTGAGAGCTGAAAGAGATCAAAGGATGCAGGACAAACTCACAGCTAACAGGAAAACAACAACAATCCAACAGCAGAGTGCTCATCCCTGCCAGTGTTATTTATGAAAGGCTGGGCTGTAAACTGTAACCTTATCTGCATTGCCCCTGTCTCTGCCTTAATGTCCCAACATAACCTAAACACACCTAACCTAACCACACCTAACCAAACCACACCTGTGACACACCTAACCTAACCACACCTGTGACACACCTAACCTAACCACACCTGTGACACACCTAACCTAATCACGCCTGTAATACACCTAACCTAACCACACCTCTAACACACCTAACTTAATCATACCACACCACACCTGTAACATACTTAAGCACGCCTAACATAATCGCACCTGTAATATACCTAACCACAACTGTAACACACCTTACCTAACATAACCACACCTGTAACACGCCTAACCTAACAAATCCACACCTGGAACACGCCTAACCTAACAAATCCACACCTGGAACACGCCTAACCTATCAACACCTGTAACACACCTAACCTAGCATAACCACACCTGTAACACACCTAACCTAGCATAACCACACCTGTAACACACCTAACCTAGCATAACCACACCTGTAACACACCTAACCTATCATATCCACACCTGTAACACACCCAACATATCCACACCTGTAACACACCTAACCATACCATACCACACCACACAGGTAACAAACCTAACCACACCCGTAACAATACCTGTAACCATGCCACACCACACCTGCAACAAACCTAACCACACCTGTAACACACCTAACCTGACATAACCGCACCTGCAACACGCCTAACCTAACATATCCACACCTGTAACACACCTAACCTAACATATCCACACCTGTAACACACCTAACATATCCACACCTGTAACACACCTAATCTAACAGCATCTGTAACACACCTAACATAACAGCACCTGTAACACACCTAACCATACCACACCACTCCTGTAACATGCCTAACCCAACATAACCGCACCTGTAACAAGCCTAACCTATCCACACCTGTAACACGCCTAACCTTACATATCCACACCTGTATCACACCTAACATAACCTCACCTGTAACACACCTAACCTAACCTCACCTGTAACACTCCTAACATAACATATCCACACCTGTAACACACATAACCTAACCTAACCTCACTTGTAACACCCCTAACCTAACATAACCTCACCTGTAACACATCTAAACTAACCTCACCTGTAACACACCTAACCTAACATAACCACACCTGATGAGACATATAACATGATCTTCCACCTTTTACATGAGGAAAAACACAAACAAATAAAAAAGAGGATGGTTTCCTCAGACCACCACACTTTCTCAACAGATGGGTGTATCTACCAGCGAGCACCCAAACAAAGAGACATTGTATTTACTAGTTAAAAACCCGGTACATACAACTTTCCAATGAGCAAGTGAATGCAGCGCTAGAGCGCAGATTTAAGTGCACACTCCACCAAAAACTCTGCTTGCGTTCAGCAGGAAGGATAATGCTTTTAAAATAAGAGTCCCATAATTCTACTGTTAAATGCAAGTTCCATTGGTGGTGCACCATTTCAGGTAGAGCAAAAAAAGTTGAAAGATTTCAACTTCATGCTTTTGCACCCTGTACTTAAAAAAAAAATAAACCAAACTCAGCCTTACAAGTAAAACTAAGATGGGAAAAAAAAAAAAAATAGCTATCAGCTTTTACAACTATATGCTCACGCTGCAACAAACAGAATGTGAACTGGATGTTTTTTCAGCGGGTGGGTTGAGGCAAATACATGAAAATGGAAGACAGTAGAAAATGCATCTTAGGAGAACAACACAATCAGATCAGGGGTGCGTTCAATCTTAAAACATCATGCACCGTTTTGCTACTGTTTCAGAGTTGAATGTCATGTTTCGTCGAAACAACGTGTTAGCCAAACAGCGGAGATGTGTATACAAAGCAAGCTGTAATCAAAAGGCAGCGGTTAAAAGGATTCTAATAAAGTCTCTACAAATGCGGCCACTGCAGCTCAGTGTATGCAATGACTGCAGAAGATATAAAATGTGTTTGTCGTATTTAAACTCATTTCACCAGCCTCTGAAAATTCTTCAAAAAGACGCCAAGAATCGCCTTTTTAGGTGCCACAGTTACGATGCTTGCATAACGCAAGCTGTATGGCACACAACAGTTTCTGTTTAAATAAATGTTTTGTTTCATTTTGCTGGGGCTGAACGCAGCCCAGCTATCATCCAGGAATGATGATGCCATCAAAATAAGAGTCCCATAACTCTACAGTCAAATGAAAGTTTGCTTGATTTAATTGAACACAATTATTTATTAAACACTAGACTGCTGCTTCTAGCACTAATAATAACAACATTATTTTATTTGGTGGTATTTATTGAAGAATTGCTAATAGACACTGAGTAATTTGCATTTAAATGAGTGGATGTCACATAGTAAAGGTTCATACTTGCCCACCCTGGGAGAAGACCACCCGCTTTATTTGAGGCCCCTGATTTCTATGAACCTTTTTGCTGTTTTTAAACATTTTTTGTTGTTGCCAAGTACAATACTGTAGCCTTGCTGCGAATCCCAGCATTGAATCATGAGTCTATGAGAGTTTTTATGTAACGACGGTGGAATCTGAGCTGATATCCAACCCAGCATTCCAGAGGCGCACCACAAAACACACAGGTTTTCTATTTACATCACATTTTGGGAGCATTCCCACCATAATTCTTAGACGAAACATCAACCCCAAACAGGTTTCTGACTACACTAAACCAGTCAGGGCTGTGACTGTGTTCAGCTACACTCCTAAAAATGGTTCTTCAAGGGTTCTTTAGTAAGTGCAACATTCTGTTTTTCTGTTTAGAACCATTTCATGCACAGTGAAATGTTCTATATAGCTGCAAAAAGGGTTCTGCTGTTGTTACAATGTCAAGCTTACAACAACAGAAAGAACCTATTTGGTGTTAAGCATGAAATAGTTCTATACTGAATTCATTGTTCTAGATAGAACCATTGTCTTTACTAAAGAACCAAGCTTTTTAAGAGAGTAGGGTTTTTTGTAATGTGGTGCCATTTTGTGGACTTTGTTGACTGTGGCTTCAGCATGGAGCAAAAACACAAACGAGCCATTTCCACTAAAAAACCGGATATGGAAATGAATTACAGCTGGAAGGTTAAGCGCAAGCTGCGTTTCAGGTCCTCTTAAAAGTGTTGAAAAATGAGAGGGGAGAGATATTTAACGTCAGACAGACAGGAAGGGCCTCCTGTTTTCATTTCTGTACTTGGCCAAATGTAGTGTAGAACTGTCTGTGGCCTGACTAGCCATGAGCTGAAGCTCAAAAAAGCTGCTCTTCCTCAACACGTGGTGGCCATCAGGAGGTTCTTTGTTAATTAGTAAGAGAAGGAGAGAGGGGGGGGCTTCAGGAAAACCCCTCCAAACCGAGCGAGCAGGCCAGCAAAACACCAAATATCGATTTAATCGCCTGACTCAGGCTTCATAACTTTGAAGAGCCGAGGACGCCGTTTAATTTCAGCGCTTCTGATCCAAACTCTCCGCTCCACCTTAAACAGCGTCGGTTCCATTCCGGCGCCCACAGCAGCTGCAATGCTGCAGCTGCAGCATTTAAGGTGGAACGGAGAATTCGAACAAGAAGGCAAGTTCAGCTTCTCTGTTTATACAAAAAAAAATTACGCCACGAAAGCAAACTGGGCCTGAGGAGGAAAATCTAAGACGGGAAAGAGGTTAAATTAGAGACATTTTAGGATCTTACCATGTTCCTTTTCGGTTCTCGAAGCAAAGCTAGCTCTGTCTAGCTTCTGCCCACAGTTACAAAAACACCCAATCTCATCACATCTGCCCTCCTTCTCTCACTCCGCACTTCATCGAGGAGAGTTTGCTCTGTCTGAAGGCGTTTCTGCTGTTGCTTCTGCTTAGCGCTCAGTTTTTCTCTCAGTTATTTCTCGAACTTTTTCCTCTGCTCTCACTTTGAACTCTCATTGTGAAAATGAGATGCTTCCTGTCCTGTCAGCAGGGCGGAGTCAAAGTCTGGAATAAAGCAGAGGAGGGGGAGGGGCAGACACGACGGGGCGGTGTCTGTGGGCGGGGTCAGACGCGTAGCGCCGCCCACCGCCCAAACAGGTGCTCAGTTTTAGGCCTGCACTTCCTACTGTTTTGCTAAAATACAGCTCAACAACAAGAACAAAAAAAAACGAGAATTTAAATTCCTAACTTAAAAGAAACTACCGAGTCAGAATTAATCACAGAGGTGATGATAGGGACCAGACGTCCACCTCTAAAAGCTCCCTCATAGAAAGTTATTACATGAAATGGTTATGAATACACTGCCCGATGTCTGACACACTGTTTTATGGTAGATTTGACAAGATTTTGGCCTCATTTAGTTGTCCCCAAAGAAAACATATTATTTCAGATTTTCCACTATTTTCCCATCATTGATATTCCATATAAAACTCAGAAGACATGTGTAAGTTCACTGGTGGTTTTGGACGGTAAATAAAATGTCTATATTTGTGTTGTAGTCATGGCGACCCCTGGTTCCGATCACCACCACCGTAAAGAAATCTGAACCATTTCACACCAAACCACTCTGAATCACTCTGTTTACATCTCAGGTACGCAGAACATTTTGAAAAATTGGTGAGATTCCCCTTTAAGAACCACTGAACTGGAGTTTTTTATTAGAATGTAAGATTGAGCACCTTGTAATAATAACATATGTGGCAAAATTTTAATTTAGTGTACTTAAAGGGAAATACCACAGATTTTGTCAAATTCCTCCATAATTCAGTGGTGGAAAGGTCAACATTCCGAGTGTTTTGATGCAAAATGGTTTGTCATAGAGAAACTATATATTTGTAAAAACAGACATCAGGCAGCACATTCGGAACCATTTCATGTGAGGGAGCTTTTAGAGGTGGACGTCTGGTTCCTATCACCGCCACTGTGAACAATTCTGAGCATTTCACATCAAACCACTCTTGACTTTGTTTACATCTTAACCGTTTTAATCATGAAGACATGTGGAATTTCCCTTTAAATAATGCACACGTTACTGTTTTGAGATTAAGAGATTAAGATGCTTATCTCAAACATTTAGTGAAAGCTAGATTATGTTCTGAGAGATGTCAGCAGAAGAACCTGAGAGTTCAGGTGGAAGCAGCTTGTGTCTTTTTTCTCTCTCAGTTTGGTGGAAAGTAAAGGCTGGCATGCCATCTGGACATGGACCTGGTCAGATGATGATGATTGTGACATTTAGATATTTTTTTGCTTGCTGTTGGCCAGTACGTGCATTCTGATGGCCAGCAAGATGAGATGCTTGTTGGCTGTGAAGATCCTGAAGTTTGAAGAGGACACCACTATGATGGGCCTCGTAGCATCATTAACCTACGGTAAGGAAATCGAGCAGCTGGTTTCCTGGTGCAGCAGCAACCACTGGCCCAAGCCCAAGTTCCTGGGCACCACCATATCCAGGAGCATTAAGTGGGAGAGGAACGTGGTCTCCATCGCCAAGAGAGCTCAGCAGAGAACGTTCCTCCTAAGACAGCTGAAGCACTTCAACCTGCCGCAGAGCCTGATGATCCAGTTCTACACAGCAAGTCCATCCTCACATCATCTATAGCCATCTGGTTTGGTTCCTCCACCTCACAAGAACGAGCCGAACTCTAGCACGTAATCAGGACAGCGGAGAGGATCATGGGATGTATCTGCCAATACCTCAGGACATCAACAACAGCAGAGCACTGGCAAAGAGACACCTCCTCCAGACACTTCCCTCTAGTAGAAGATTCAGGACCATCAAAACCAGCTCAGCCAGACATGCTAACAGCTTTTTCTCCAGAGCTGTAGCTCATTAAACACAGTGGACACTCACACTTTAAACCAACCATCAAACCTCCTCACTGTGTTACAGTAACTCCTCTGTAACAGAACGATTATTTACACTACAGTAACTTATCAAACCTCCTCGCTGTGTTACAGTAACTCCTCTGAACAGAACAATTATTTACACTACAGTAACTTATCAAACCTCCTCACTGTATTACAGTAATTCCTCTGAACAGAATGATTATTTACAGTACAGTAATTTATCAAACCTCTTCGCTGTATTACAGTAACTCCTCTGAACAGAATGATTGTTTACAGTAACTTATCAAACCTCCTCACTGTATTACAGTAACTCCTCTGAACAAAATGATTATTTACAGTACAGTAACTTATCAAACCTTCTCGCTGTGTTACAGTAACTCCTCTGGACAGAACGATTATTTACAGTAACTTATCAAACCTCCTCGCTGTGTTACAGTAACTCCTCTGGACAGAACAATTATTTGCAGTAACTTATCAAACCTCCTTGCTGTATTATAGTAACTCCTCTGAACAGAACGATTATTTATAGTAACTTATCAAACCTCCTTGCTGTATTACAGTAACTCCTCTGAACAGAACGATTAATTACACAGCTGGACAGATGTTAAAGTTTACCAGTGTTATTATTATTAGTATATTATTTTGCACTATTCTACATATAATAGCTTTTATAGTATCTACTCAGACCTGTATGTAGAGATATATAGAGATACAATTTATTGTATTTTATGTTGTCTTTTAGTTTAATCCTTGTAAACAGTCTGTATGCTTGTCTGGTCTGTGCAGTGTGTTAATATCATGCATGTGTGACTCACCAAGACTGATTTCTTGTGTTAGTAATGCGAAATAAAGTAATTCTGATGCTGATTCTGATCCTGATGGTCAGTAAGACTGTATATATGTTGGCTGCTTCTGTGTAACGGAGCCAGCAGATGGTGTAGTTCTGTACTTTGAGTAACAGAGCAGTTATATCAATGGAGCAGTGAAGAATAAATACTGTTCTTTATTGTAGGGCAGCCAGATCTGAACACTGTTTAAAGCAGGTGCCTAAACTGATGCACTCTGGGAAAATGTTTACCAGAAAAAGAAGGTTCAACTATCCAGTGTCCACAAAGAAAGACTAATTCTTTAGTCAGAATTACTTACAGTCTTCTGCCATATTTCAGCTGTCTGACACTGCCATGTCATACTTCATCATCATCACACTGCTTGCACACGCGAGTGCACACATGTATGACATGCAACATACTAAACAGACCAGACAAGCACAACCAGAGGAGGCAGAGTAGCCTAAATCAGTACTCAAGCAAAAGTTATGGGTAAAATAATGACTCAAGCAAAAGTGAAACTACCTTCATATGAAACAAGTTGAGAAGTCAAGATCAAAACAAAATGAAATTAAACACAAAAAAAATGAAAAATGTATCTGAATAAAAAGTACACTCTTAAAAACACAGTTCATCAAGGGTTCTTTAGTAAGGATACATAGAACCATGAGCACTTAAAGAACTCTTTGCCCAATGAAAGGGTTCTTGGCATCATTAAATGGTTCTTCAGTTTGATGGAAAATGTGCTGTATATAGTTCTATTTTGAACCTTTTTGAAAAGGGTGTTATATAGAACAGGGTGAACAAAGTATGCAGAGAAACAGATGGACTATAGTCTGTAACTGTAGAACTACAAAGTGCTCCTATATGGTCAGTGCAGCTGATAAAATGACAGTGAGTGTAGAAACAAGGAGGTGGACATAATGTCCTGTTCAATGTTTATACACAGAAACTTAAAACACAATAAATACAGAACAAGCTGGACCCAGAGATGTGCTGGTGCACAGACAGTGTGTAAAGTGTGCAAAGCATGTGCGGTGCTTTTAGAATGAGTCCAGTGTGTGAATTAAACTTCAGTGTTCAGTAAACATTATATCTTCTGTGTTCAGTCTAAACATAGTCAGTCAGCAGTGACATGGAGAGAGGTCAGAATGAGATTCGAGTTTTTAGACCGTTCGGGTGGCGTTTGTATTTGTGTTGATGATCTGTGGGTGTGACCGGTTTACCAGCTCAGGGGTAGAAGCTGTGCTGGTTGTGGTGCAAATGTTCTGATATCTCCTCCCAGATAGCAGCGGGTGGAGCAGGAAGTGGTGGTGGTTTGTGTGAGTGGGTCTGAGGTGATACTGCTGGCTTTTCTCAGACATATTTTATTGTCAATATCCTGTAAGGGTGTGGATGCATGAGTGCATGAATTTTTTTGAAAATGGTTCTATATAGCACCAAAAAGGATTCTTGTAATGATGTAGCAGCACACTTTTTGGTGCTATTTAGAACCATATACAGCACATTCTCCATCAATCCATCATGCAGAGAACCATTTAAGCATGCAAATGATTTTGAGTGTTCATGGTTCTGTATCGCACTTTTGTCTTTACTAAAGAACCCTTGAAGAACCATCTTTTTTAAGAGGAAGGAAAGCAACCTCTCTCCAACTGGTCACTTATTTAGTGTAAGCAAGGAAGTTATACAGACATCCCTGCTGAAAAACCCATAGAAATCATTAAGTGTTTGTTGGTTCCTCATGGTTTTGTAATGTGTTTTGGCTTTTGGGGTTGATATCACAGTGTAGGATCTTAATGGTTAAACAGGTGAACAATTACTGATTCTAAATGTATTTGATGGTTTCCTAATGGGATCTAAAGATGTTCTACACCATTAAGCCAATTTCCATTTGAAAGCAAAACCATAAGGTTTTAATCCTAATCGTTTATAATGGTTCTTTTCCAGCAGGGATTCCTTTTTCCACAGATATAAACAGTCAAATCAGTCACTCTGCTTAGTGAAGACATAATGTATAAAAGAGTACAGTATATGTGTTTACCCACGACAGAATTCTGACTTGTGATTGGGTGGTTTCAGACCTGGCAGACTTGCCAGGAAATCTGTGTGCAGCACGGAATGTTTAATTTGATAATATGTATTTATTGAATTCAGTAAAAGAATTGGCATTTTAATTTGTTTACATTAGATTTTTTTTATTGGTTATTATTGTCTTAACCCTTGTGTGGTGTTCATGTTTTTGTTACTCAGTGGTCTGGTGGACCCACCGCATTATTGCAGCTGTAGCCAGTTAGCAGCCTGTCCATGTTGGTCTGTCCACACATACTAACA